CAGGAATCTCAGGCTGCGGTTAGGAACACAGTGACGTGTGTGGCCTGGACCCGGAATAAGCTCGGAGGGCGGAGGGACGCCTGCTCGGGGCTCCCGGGCCTGCAGGGCTCTGCACTGAGGCTGGGGGTTCCGTGGGTCCTGGGAAGCACTGCAGCTGGAGGCCGGCCGGGGCGTGTCGGCACCCTGACCTGTCAGCACTCCTCTGTGTGCCCAGCCTGAAATGCAAGTCTTCACCTGCCCCACGGGGGCTTGTGGCATCCCTGTACAAACTGAAAAGTGCTGTGCACCGCCATCGTTTTAAATGCCACCCACATCTGCTTTCGTGGGGAAACCACCTAAACCCCTGACCTGGGAAGCATCCTGTAGCCCATGCCCTGTAATCTGACCCAGGTCAGGAGCATTTCCTCCGTGGGTCCTGCAAGCTCATTCACGGCCTCCGAGCAAGGCCTGGGCACCGTGTCCTCAGTTTCCCCCTAGGGGATCGCCATCTGGATGACTAGGTGCACCCCCCGTGTGCATGCCATGCACGTGCCAACGGCAGCCCAAGAACACTACGTTTGCTTGTGACATTTCGCCGGTTATCTCTTCTAAGCCTGAAATTTTCTCTCTCCCTGGTCCCCAACCCCTCTCTTGTCTGTCTCTTCCCAGAGGGCATGAACTGCATGAACAAAGACCATGGCTGTGCCCACATCTGCCGGGAGGCGCCCAAAGGCGGGGTGGCTTGTGACTGCAGGCCCGGCTTTGACCTTGCCCACAACCAGAAGGACTGCACACGTAGGTAGATGGAGGCAAAGGGGTCACACGTTCCCACGCGTCTCCTGCCGTTGCTTTGTGGGGGGGTCTGTCTAGTCTGCTGGACATTGCCTGAGAAGGGCACTCAGTCCCCTGGCGGGAAGAGAAGGGCAGGGCCCCCCCACCGGAGGGGTCTGGGAGGCATGAGGGACAGGGGCCGTAAGCCCCAGGCTCGGGGTTTCCCTGGCATAGTACCGGTGACACAGCCCCAGACCTGGGCTGGACCTTATGCAGGGCCCTGTGTGACAGCCCTGCCACTGCTCATCGTAACCTCCTCCTTCCCCCGTGCCCCCGACCCGAGAGACCCATTGGCCCTGTGCTCGAGCTCTCCAGCAGGAACGGAGGGACTGTGGGTTCGCAGTGGGCCAGGGCAGCCCTTGGTAACAGAATAGTATAAAGAAGGCAAGGAGGGGACTTCCCTGGTGGCACAGTGGTTGAGAATCAGCCTGCCAATGTAGGGGACACGGGTTCGAGCCCTGGTCAGGGAAGATCCCACATGCCGCAGAGCAACTAAGCCCGCGTGCCACAACTACTGAGCCTGCGCTCTAGAGCCCATGCTCTGCAACAGGAGAGGCCACCGCAATGAGAAGCCCACGCACCGCAACAAAGAGTAGACCCCACTCACCGCAACTAGAAAAAGCCCACGCTCAGCAACGAAAACCCAATGCAGCCAATAAATAAATAAATAAATTTATTTTTTAAAAAAAAGAAGGCAAGGAGCTTGGTTCTGGGGGTGGTCCCAGCACAGGCTGTGCTGAGCTTATTTCCAGGATCAAAGACCAGAGCTCGTAGCCTAGCCCTGAAAGGCCCACTATAGACGATGATACCCTAGGAAATCTGGATTGAATGAGGCCTCTGGTCAAAGGTGCCATTTCAGGACCAGCTTGGAGGTCAGCCTTCAGGACGCAGGCATAATCCAGCCTCTTAATCTGGTCACTCGGCACTCCCCAGTAGGAATGGGAGCCAGCAAACGAAGTGAGACGGTGGCTGAACACACTCAGTCCTCAAAAGCTTCGAACGCAGTGCATCCTCCCAACACTGCGTGGGGAGTGGCAGGATGTGGCCTCTGCTCGCCGGGCAGCCAGGATGCCCAGATTGATGTGATGTTTGCTGTGTGTCTGAAAAGAGTGGAGGGTGGCTGGTGTGACTGCTGCCCGTCTCTGGCCAGAGACAAGCACTTCATACCAGGCCCACCTTCTGCTGCAGAAAAATGGTATGAAGGAGTCTGAGTCCAACTTCCAGGCTGGCCACTGAACCAGGACACAGACACTGACCAGCTCTCCTAAAGAAAATGGGCTTTCTTTCCATTCTGCATTCTGTGGAGAAGACAGCTGGCCTTTGCCAGCCCGTCGTCCTTAGTCATCGTGACTCTTCCAGTTCTCCCCCACCCTCCTCAGCCATCGAGATCTCGGGGACCCACATGCCTCAGACACAGTCCCTGTCACCAAGGGAGCTCGTGCTCCAGCCCCCACGCCTGATTCGTCTGTTCCCCAAGGTGAAGACACTTCCTCCTGCCCAGGTTGGTCCCAGATGCGGACCAGCCTTCCTCTTCTAGTCATTCCTGCGGGATCGCAGTGATCAATAGGTACGCTGTCACCAAGGGGAGGACCAATCAGGGACGCTGTTGACGGGGAAATGCCCGGTTCTAACCCAGGCCCTCCTGTCCTCTACGCCAGATGGATCCCTTTAGCTGCAGAGAAACCTCCTGCCACCTGGCAACCTTCAGAACAGAGAAAGAATAACTCCAGCTTCCCAGTCCTCCCCGTGGGGTAATCTGAGCTTCCTCAGGACACAGGCCAAGGACCAGCATATGTGGCGTGGGCAGGCTTGTTGACCGGCTCGGCCAGGAGGAAAGCACATTCCTTCAGTCAGCAAGCCTGGCTGACGCCCACCCTGGCCAAGCCCTGCACTAGGTGCCCGAGAGAGAGCTGTGGGCCCCCAGGAAGTGGCTGGGACTGACTGACTGGCTGCCTAATCCTATGATTCCGTGTGGGGCGAGTGCTACAAGTGCTACAAGGGGACGGTTTGCTCAGAGAGCATCTCCTGAGGGACCAGCCTGGTCTGAGAGGTCAGAGATAAGGAGAGCTCTGTGCACAGCCAAGACTCCCCCGCCCCACCCGGACAGAGAAGAGCTACGCCCGCGCCCCGAACTTTTGGTAAAGCAGGTAGAGTCCCACCCTCTCTGCTCAGTGGCTGTGTGGAGCCACTTGCTGCCCCTGCACACAAGGTGTGTGGAGAGTCCAGTACCCATCCTGGAGCCCAGGAGTGGGTGACTGCCCTGCAGCCCTCCTGCCGAGGGACGGCACCCCTGGCTGTCCACCCCGTCAGCTTTGGTTTCTTCCGTGTGGTTAACGTGGATTAGCGTAAAGTTAGCTCTGAGACTTCCCTCTAGCCCTTGAGCTCACTTGAGGCCCAGGAAATTCTAGATCTGGAGTTGGGTCGGGGGCTGAGGCCTGGCCTAGGCAGCCGCTGTGAACGAGCAGGACCACAGGGGACTCTGCCCAAACTTTCCTCCCTCCAGAGCCCAGGACTCACTCCAGGGCCAGAGGAGCTTTTCGCCATCCTTCTCTGGGTCTTTCTGGAGCTCAGGGCTCCAGTATTTACTTCCGTGTACGTGCTATAGGCTCTCTACGTGCTCACAGCTCGGCCCGTGTGGTCTGGGAGATGCACGCGGGCCTGCAGAGAGGGAGCGAGAAAGTGGCCCTCGCTCCGGTTGCCTCAGACAGGCCCGTGTCCTCCGTAGAGCCACTTGCAGGGTGCCGTCCATCTCCTGGAGCCCAAAGCCTGCAAAGAACTGTCCCCTCACTGGTCCACCCCTGCCCACCCTGAATGGGGCTTTTCTCAGTCCAGAAAGGCACGTGATATTCAGCCCAAGGTGGGGCTCTCCCCTCACCTGAGATCCGTGCTCAGTGGCAGCCCCCTGGGACCTTGGCTTCTCTGAGGCTCCTCCTGTGCAGAGAGATGAGAGACCCTGCCTCCAGGCTGCCGGGCACCCAGAAATGCTGAGAAGAGACCCTCCCACACAGAGGGGCCAGAGGGCTTGGTGGCAAAGCCCCAGCTGTTTCCTGAAACAGCTCTGCATGTCCTTGAAATGTCGCCCCAGAAGCTGGGTCCCTCCTTCGGACGGTCACGAGCTCCCTGTGGAAGAGGCAGCCCGCCAGCCGCTGGTCGCTGAGGACAGTGTCTGGGACAGTGAGTGGGAACCATTCTTGCGCCCTCCCCACCCGGCAGGGAGACCGCGTGTGGCCAGGTCGGCAGGGCCAGCGTCACTCAGGCTGGAAACCCCAGAGCCTCCGTGCTGTTCTCTGGGGGGAAGGAGGAGTACCTGGGAAACGCAGCTGCAGAACTCAGCTCTGAAACACCTGGAATCCTTCACCGGGGAGTTGCCACCAAGTGACCTCCCTCTGGCCCCAGCCCTGCTCACGGGTCACCTGATAAAACATCATTCGGGCTCTGCCAGTTGGGAATTTTCTGCCCCTCTGCCTGTGGCTAGTCTGAGATTTACTTCTGCATACCTGATCATCTTTAGGGTTTTCGAATAAATTCAGAGTGTAGATAGAATTCTGGACAAATGGGTAAGGTCTCCAGGAAGACACCCTGTCCTCAAGGCCCCGGTGTACCATTTGCATACAAATGACGGGCACCCTGTCACCTTACAGCGGAGTAAAGCAGGGGCAGCAAGAAGCCCTGCCATGGAGACCTTGGATCTCCTTTTGCGATATCCCTCACCCTGGGAAGAGAGAACAATGTGTATTCTTTTCAATCAACTTGAATTTCTCCTTTTACCTACTTCAGACGGGCTCCTGCTTGCTCAGCCCCCTTTTCAGCGACACGGGTTGCTGATGCTGTGAAACATTTTAAGATCCTGGGCTGAAGGGCAGCAGCTCCTCCAGGCCGTAGGCACTGCGCACTATGTAACACGTTTAAATAAAAGGTCATTTTCAAACCTGCATCTGAGATGACATTAATTTGCATATGTTCTGTCTGTTTGGACATTTCCTTGGGAGGATTAGGGCTTAGAGTGGATAGAGACTGAGGTGGCTGCTGGGACTTGGAGGGAATAGGCATCCGTGGGGACATCCTTCCACGTGCCCCAAGACGTGAGCAAAAGAAAGAAAGGTCTTCGAGAGCTAAGGAAATGAGCGCCACCCCTCACATGGGCCTGCCCCCTCCCACCGCCTTGAAGAGTATGCCTGGTATTAACAGACATTTGCCCCATCGGGACAGGCTATTGTAAAGTGTCTTTTGCAACCTAGGAAGGATAAAATTGTCTAGCTTATCCCTTTCTTCAACTAACACCATCTGAGTGCATCAGCTGTGTGCCAGCTCTGTTCGAAGCCCAGACGACCCAAAGTCCATTCTCTGTCCCACCCCAGTTCGCCTCTAGGGAGTGAGCGATTCCACCCAAGACCCCAGAGGGGCTGATGTCCAGGGAAATGTGTGCCTCTGCGCTGACTGTCTCATGTCCCCACTTTCCTCCCCCATCCCTTAAAGAAACAACCAACGGCGATAAACTAATCGTTTTTGTTGTCATTCTGTTTACATACACGTATGTACACTTTGGGCCTAACTAGTAACCTGTAACTATGGAAACGGAGGCTGCCAGCACAGCTGTGAGGACACGGACACAGGCCCCATGTGCGGCTGCCACCAGAAGTACGCCCTGCACTCAGACGGTCGGACATGCATCGGTGAGTAAGAGCTTTTGCCAAGCACCAACACTCTGCGCCGCCCTGCCCCCCGGGGTGCCCGTGTGGCCCGAAAGTGGCCACACCCCACTGCATCCTGGTTTCCAAGAAGGAAGCTTAGGGGGAAAAATAAAGGGAGCGCCCCACGATACTGATGGGGCTGGCGGGCGACCCCAAGGGGAGCTTTCTGTGAACACTTCCCAGGGTCACCCGTCCACCCAGACCAAGTGCCTCTGCTTTGTGTCACTGCGGGTTTTCTGAGGGGCCTCATCCTCCGCGTGCAGGTGGTTCCAGGCAGGTGATCTGTGGGGAGGAGGGTGGTGTGTGCGCCTTTGGAGCGCAGCTTCTGTTCCTGAAGCACAGGGGTTTCCTCCCCTAACGTGGAGACACACCGGAGACTCGGCCGGCCTGCATCACCACCTCCTTGGTGGTGTGAGCTGCCCACAGCATCTGGAAAACCAAGAGGTTTTCTCAGAAAACTGCTTTCAGTCTTGGTTGTCTAGAACACCAGGGGAGAGGGCTGGTGTGAATCCCGGGTCAGGTCTGGGTGTCTTTAACTGCTCTCCATTCCCGAGCTATGGGGCCTCTCGCCGGGCCTCCTCTCCCACCTAGAGCCCCTTCTTCTCGGGTGCCCCCTCCTGACACCCCTCGGGTGTCACCTCACCTGTTGCAAGAGTGTCAGTTTCAGTCTGTGTCACCTCCGTCCTCCTGGTCCTTAGTTCCAAGGGGAAGCTTGAGTATTTGTGATTATCTCAAGTTATAATCACTAGTAAGTTCTTTCCCCACTCAAAACTAAGCCTATTTTTTAACTGAGAAAAAGAGGAATTTCAAAGTTGGTGCCCAGAGTTCACCCTCCTCTTTCTCTTCAACACTGGCAAAGTTCAGCAACCCCCCGCAAGTCAGTTATCATATTCATTTTTTGTAAAAAGGCCCTGTTTTTTTATTATCGACTCAGAAGATATTTCTTGAGGGACTTTCAAGTAACAGAAAAGGGTTGGCAAGCAAGCAAAGCCGTGAAGCCCGGAGTCTGCTGTCACCTTCTGTCCCCCGTGGTTCTGCTCCCTTGTGCCCCCGGGGAGTCGGGCGGAGGGGCCGGGCCGGGCAGCAGCGGTCGCGTCCCAGTCCCGGGCTGTCGTCACAGGTGCTGCCTGCGTGGTTCTCCCTTCCTCTGTGTGGTCTCTCCTCTCAGACAGCCATTTTGGGTTTCATTTTATCTCATTCCTCCTGCTTTTCTGGTGATGGTCCCTGATTGCCTGTCTTGTCTGATAACTGACGTTCGTTAATGATTTTCAGAGCCAAAAGCCAAACCAAACCAAAGAACCAAAAAAAAAAAAAAAAAAAAAAAAAAAAAAAAAAATCAAAGCAGAACCCGGTCTCAGACCAGTGTCTCTATTGCAGCCTGATCCCATCTAGAACTCCCTCTCCCACCTCTCTCCCTGTCTCCACTGACCCCGGGGGCTCTCCCGGCCCGCCGGCCCCCTTCCTGTCTCGTCTGCTGGGGTCTCCCACAGCGTTTGCGTCTGCAGTGGAGCTGCCTCCTCCAGCCCCTGGACCAGCGCAAACAGCTGCTGGCCAGACACACGCCCAGCCTCGTCTAACACTTCTTGTCTTTGTGCACCTGGCTCATCCTCTCTTATTTTTTTATCCTTTAGTGTCTGCTGCACGTGAAGGTCCCTGCTTGGATCTGCTGTCTAACATAGCTTCCCTCACCCTGCCCCTTCCCCTCCCCTCTCCTTAGAAATCCTTTCCCAGACCCAGCTCCTGGGCCCTGGGCCGTTACTCCCTGCTGGCTCAGAGAACCTTTCATGTGCCTTTGCTCACTGCTCCCCGGGCTTCCCCGGGAGCGAGTGTCCCCACACATCTCCCACTGAGCAAAGAAACACGAGCCAGCTAACCTCACATGCTCCTGTACGGGGAACATGCCGGCAGCTCCCGGCCGCCCGGCCGGCTGTCTCTCTGTGCGCGCTCCTAAAACGGCCGCCCCTCTTTGCAGCCTCTCGTCGAGCACTTGAGTGTCTCGCTCCAGTCCTCCATAGACAAGCAGGCAACCAGCGCTGCCCAAATCGACCCCCTGGTTTCTCTGTGTCTATTCGGCTGGACCCACTGTTGAGTGTATGCGTGTTTGTCCCTCCGTATGTTTCGTTCTTAATTCTGCATGAGTGTTTGACACATTTTCACGCCCTTGAGACAGGGCGTCTGCTGTCCAGGCGCATCCATCACCGGACCCCACGGGTCCTGTCCCCCCTTGTCCTGGGCCTCGTCCTGGGCCTGCCTCTTCGGCCTGAGCCGGGGTGTCTGTAGCTGCCTGGGCCTCCGCGAGCTCCGCGGGGGTGCTGTCCACCTCTCCGGCCCTCCGCACGCGGGTCCTGTCTGCTCTGACCTCAGCCTCCTCCTGTGTCTGTTTGCAGATGGGCCCTGTGTCCCGCCCGTGTCCTCTCGTGGTCATAACCCTCTTCTGCCCCCCTCCCCCGCTCTGCCGCTTCTTCCCTCTGCCCTGAACACGCCGTCTGGAGGTTCCTGGGATTAGCCCCTTGGCGAGGACGCCGCGCTGGCCCGGCGTGCTGTGTTGGCTTTGTGTGCGCCACGCCAAGAGGCTGACTGTCTTGGGCCGCGGGAAGTGGGCTGTCATTAACCACCGGCTCCGTGTTTGTCCCTTACTTGTGTTTTAGAAAAGGATGAGGCTGCAATTGAGCGCTCTCAGTGCAATGCCACGTCAGTAGCTGATGTGGACAAGCGGGGGAAACGGCGGCTACTCATGGGTAACACTTTTCTTCCACTTCCTTTGTTGTACTTGCACCTTTGTTCGTGTGTGTGTGTGTGTGTGTGGTATGTGCTGGCGTGTGGGGTGTCTGTATGCATACTTGTATGTCAGACTATGAGAGCTGTGCTGGCGTGTGGGGTGAGCATGTGTGGGGGCTGTTTATCCGTGTGGTGTGCCCACGTGTGTGTGATCGTGTGTGCCGTGGGTGAGTGTGAGGGGCTCTGCTCCAGATGTGAACTCACTTTTTCCTTTTTAAGGTTTTTACCCTTCATCGAATACATGTATTTCTCTGTGTGTTTGTAGCAAAGAATCCAGAGCCAATGTCTAGTGGCTTCTGCGTGTAAGGAGATGTGCTCTGTAAATCCCCTCTACTCGCAGTAATGCCCACACGTGCAGTTAGGATTCCAGGGTCAGCAAAGCAACGCTGAGACGCAGAAGCAAAGTGGGTGTTAGTGTAGAACAGGGGTTCAGGCAGCACGTCCTTATCTGTCTCCTCGCCAGAGAGGAGCCACGTGCAGGGGGGAAAAAACTACATCTAGATGCGGGGGCAGCAGGGTCTCAGCGGTGTCCAGTCCACCCTGCTTGCTTTATAGTTGGGAAATCTGCTACCCAGAGAGGGGAGGACCGGTCAGGGTCACCTGGCAGCCCCTTCTGGCCCCAAAGCTCCCCAGTCCGTGAATGACCCCAGCCCAAGCCCAGTGGGCTGGCAGTCTCAGCCCACTTTTCCCCAGCCCGCCCCCCCTCGGGCCCCCACCCCCCTCGGGGGTCCATGTGATGTCAGCTGCGCTCTGAGCCCTGCCCTGGGCTGGATCCAGACTCTAGGGAAGCTTGCCCAGAAACACCGGGGGCCGCTCTGGGCGGCTGGAGGCCTGCTGGTGTGGCTGATCCCGGGCAGGGTGAGGAAAACGGAGAAAGTAACTGCTCTGCAACTGAGCTCGGTCTGCAGAACACAAGAGCCATCTGTCTCCACAATTCATTCGTTCCGCTGGCCCTCAGTCAGTGCCAGTTCTGGGGTTGCTGGCCCCTGGGTGGCACCAGCTGCCAGGCCTCTGGAGCACAGCTATCGGGTCACCTGGGATTGTCACGACCTTCTTTGTGTCATTCCTGTTAGGTCACACCAGCCTTGGGAGCTGTGAGGTCAGGTGGTGCATTTCTCACATCTCGGAGGAGGAAACTGAGACTCACTGGGGTGCCCTGGCTTGCCCAAGGTCACACGTAAGTTACCCTGCACAGCTGAGCTTAACCCAGAGGTCATGGCCACGCGGGCCATCTTAAGTGTTGGCGTCACAGGACCGTGGAGGTCAGAGCCTAAAGGTCCCAGAGAGGTCACTCAGTTTTGTGGTCCTCGTAGGGACCTCAAAGGAGCCCAGGAATCTAGGGAGGGGTCTGAGTGGGGCTGAGGGAGGGATGTGGCCTTGAGTGCCGGGGAGTAGGCTTGAGGTCTCCCCCAGTGAGGAAGCCGTGGGCTCTCCGACAGCTCTGTGAACCCCCGGTCCATGCTGGGCAGGACAGATATAGCCCTGTTCTCAGACGAGAGCGCTACAGGCCAGAGAGGCCAGAGGACTCACTCTGGGTACACAGGGACAAGCTCAGGCTAGAAGCCCGCTCTCTGCAAGTTCTCTGTACGAGGCTGTCTCATTGACTTGGGCCGTCTGGCTTGGCCTGGAAAGAGCTGGAAACCACGAAGGGGTGGGCTTAGAGGCTCCAGCAATCAGGCGTGTCCACTGCCCTGCACAAAAGGCTGAGTCAGTACTAAGGACTTTCTGAAGAGGGGGCTGGCAGCGGGTGATGGGAACCTACGAGCTGCTGGTGCTCTGAGGCCCAAGAGGACCCAGGCCCCTAGGCCTCACTTACAGGAGAGGTGGGCACTGCTGCCTGAGGCCAGAGCTCCAGAGCGGGACAGGACCAGAAACTGGGCCCCCAGGTGCCAGGCACCCTTCCCAGCAAGAGGATGGTGGCAGACGAGGGCTGAGCTGAGTTGGCATCAAGCAGGTGGGTGGGTACTTGCTTTTTCTAATTAGAGTTGGCAGAGAGAGTGGCTCAGAGCCAGACCCTGGTGCAGGGTCTGGGAGGTGAGGAGGGGGCACTGAGGACACAGGTCCCCTCACCCCGAGCTTGGGAGGCAGGGATGGGGGAGAGGATAGGGGGACCCAGTGCCAGGCACAGGAAGGGCCAGGGAGATGGGCGCTGATTGGCTGCCCCTGCATTCCCACCTCTCTGTCCCCACCCCCACCCCCTTAGA